AAAAAAAAAAAAAAAAATCGATTATCCGGCGATAATTTTTATTACGTTGGCGTCAGAGCACGCGCGCGATGTACACGCGTGTATCGACACATAACACACACACGTACACGCATACACATACATACACGTGAACAGGCAAATATACGACGTTAATGCAAGAGTACGCTCGATGGCGCACGCCAAGAACGACAGCAACACAAACGAAAACGTAACGTAAAATTAGTATAGGTTGATGCCTAGAAAAATTGCCAATAAAGTAGTCGTTTAAAACTTGTAGCTAACCTCTATTTGTGTATCTCTCCTTTGTATTTTCTCACTTGGTCCCCTTCCACCCTCTACCCTCTCCCCCAATCACATTCATAGTTATAGATCTCTCCAGAAATTCCCGGTCCATATTTGCGATCCACCCCTTGTAATTTATTATTGATAAACCTCGTATCTCTCTTGCCTAACTTGTTGGCAAAAAGTAATTTATATATATCTATATATATATATATATATATATATATATATATATATATATATATATGGATATAACGAACATATATGTGTTTTCCTTCCGCTCGAGCAATAACAATTTAAACGTCGAATACTCTTTTCAACCAAGATTTGTGACACACGTATGTATGTATGTATGTTTGTATGTATGTATGTATGTATGTATGTTTGTATGTATGTATGTATGTATGTATGTTTGTATGTATGTATGTATGTATGTATGTATGTATGTATGTATGTATGTATGTATGTATGTTTATATATATATATCTAGAGCTCGAAATATCCAGGTATTCATCCCCTCGCCTGTTACCCATACATTGTATGAGTAAGCATCGATTCTGCGAATGCTCTTAATTGTCATGATATATCATTTTCAATAGATTATTAAATTATTAATTTAAAAAAATATAACAACCATAACAACCATAATATAACAATCATATAACAACCGTATATAACAACCATAAACATATATCTTTATAATATGGTAACGACAAATGCGCGCGCGTCTGTGTGTTGAATGTCATATATTATTTCAGGGCTGATCTATTTATCTATGATTAATATTCACATAATTATTGTTTAAATTTAGAAATTTATGATTACGAAATACTTTTATTATTCGAAATATTCGCAGAATCACTTTTTACTCGTATGAAACGGATAACAAGTAATTGTGTATTTGTCATATTATCCGATCCCTTTTTCGAGCTTTAATGCATGTTTTTCATTTAATAATGCAAATCGATATAATTTCATTCTTACGGTCATTTTGATCAAACTCCGATCGTTGATTAATTTGTAAAATGATAAAAAGCAAAATTTTTATTATATATTACATATGATAATTATATTGTTAGAAATTTTGTCTCAGATGTTGATCATTCTGCAAGTTTATCAACAATTTAATTAATCGATATTTGATTGAAGTGACTATAATAATCGAGTTGTATCGATTTGTCATTAAATGGAAGGAGGAAAAGCATCTAATATATACACATAGTAGAATCTCCTTAAATTTTGCGCCATTAATTTTGGTACTCCTTTATGTACACGTACTTTCATGAATACTAATATTGCGTTTCCTCCGTGTTCATAATGGACAAATCATGTGATGGCGCAGGTGACAGCGTCGTTTTTATGTTCAAAAATTTTCTGCTTCTATCTTCCCAGAAGGCCAAAATTGATGAGACTACTATATGGCTGCGTTCGGAAACATCACCCGTGTGCACACGAGCGTCGTTCTATCTTCGTTTAACTTTTAGTAAATAACAAAGATAGAAGAACGCTTATGTACACACGGGTGATGTTCCGAACGCAGCCTATATATGTGTGTGTGGGTATGTGTGGAAATACCGCGGGGCAAAAGTAACGGAATATTCTGATATTTAAAAAACTATGGATTTTAGAAAAAAATATAAAAATTGTAGACCAGAAGAAGGGGGAGATCTTAAGTCATGCATTATATGATAATGTTAGTGTGACATTAGATAGCATTGTCAAGGTAAAGGTCACCTTGAAATTTTTTAATCGGAACCTTCATTTTTCACTTGAAATTTTTATGTAATTTATATCGAGATGTTTTCAAAATCGTATGATTTAAACTCTTTTTTTGCTAAAAATTTTCTGAGTTATAAACCGTCGAATTTTTACGGTATCGCCGGTATTAGCATGATCCATAGACATATATACATAGACCAAACATTCGATCTTTAGAATGAAGCCAACGAGTTAACAGAAAAATTGTTAGGGTCATACATCTTTGTGTTCTCTTTTTTTTTCTAAGGCACTGCGATTGTCAATTTAAAAGTAATTAGCATTGATTCCTAGTCAGCCAAGTCTGTTTGGACAGATCTTGCCAAATGCCTGCTACAAATTACTGTCAGCAAAGAGACTATAAATTTGATATTGGAATTGTTATTACCGATTAAGTCGGCAGATTGGCGGCAGAAATCGAGCAGGATCTGCGCGTGCGCTATTTGATGGCAAATTGGTAGCAGAAGCTGAGCAGAATTTATATTTTTTAATTATTTAAAAATGATGTAGATCGGTATTTAATGGCTTTTAATATTTGATTCGCGATAATTCTTCCGTTTATTGCTATGCGACGTACTTTCTCGTATTCAAATTTTTATTAGAAATGGATATAAAGTCTGCAAGGTGCGAATACTAATATAAGAGAAAACGTCTCGACATAGCAAGAATTTCTATAGTAAAAATTTTCATATATTTTCTAAAATCCATAGTTTTAAAAATATCAGAGCATTCATTACTTTTTCCCAACCGTGTATATATGTACATATGAGTGCGTGTACATATACAGGATGTCCCAAAACCACCGGATGTTTTTTTAATAAGATTCTCTGACCAATTGAAGACAATTTTTTTCAACGAAAATATTGAGGCATTAATAATTTCCAAGTTATAACTGATTAATAAAAAAAGGGCTTTTTGCAACTAAATTTTGAGTGTTAAACGATTAACCAACTACTTTTTTCGGTTAATTTTAGGTAAAATTTAATTTAATAAAATTTTAATTTAAGATTTAATTACAAAGGTATCTGAGATGGCAAAAATAGGCTTGCAAAAAATGAAGTTCTTCGATATTTTCGCTGAGGAGAAATCATCTCTAAATTAGACAAAAAATCTATTACTAAAAGAAAATCGGTTGTTTTGGGATATTTCTGTGTGCGTGCGTGTGTATATGTGTATGTGCGTATATATTCTGTGTATGTGG